TGTGGGTGATCATGACAACTATTCGTAAGTGTGTTTCAAAATGTATTTGAACCAATATGTGAAAACTATACATCATTGACAACCTCTCTTGGTGAATCAGATTAATTGGCTTTTTGTTCTTAATGGAACCTTTGGATATTAAAGGCATGCCTAGGAAAGAGTACTCTATGTGTTTTATATATGTGTGTGATCGGGTTATATGAGGTTTGGTTGGTACGTTGAGCTATGCTCCGAGAAGATACAATGTAAGGTTGGGCGTTGAGCTTTGCTTTGTAATTCCGTAGTTTTGGACCTATGTGAGTTCACAAATAAAATGGGAGTTGTATGAAGTCTGTTTATCCAATGAGTGAGTTGTATTTTGAACAAAGGCAATTGATATTTAATTGTAACAATGTATGTGGAATTTGTGACTTCGCTGAAAAGGTAATTATGCATGAGTACATGTGTTTTGCTGCAAGGTATATGATTATGTAAAGCATGATTATAATATGGATTTTATGTGAATTTATGATGCATTAACTGAACATTGTAGCATGACATTAAGGTATGATCATTGAGGTAAAAACAAGTAAGGTTGCATGGCATTTAGGTATGCTTTCCTTTAGCCTTGGCATGTACATCATATTTGATTGTTTAGTCACTCACTAGGCTTTATAGCTCACACTCATTGTTTAATACTTTTCAGATTTTTACTTTTACTTGAGAGCTCGCTGGACAAGGCACTTGTTGGTGATCAAAGCAAGGGAGTTTTTGTAAAGTTATTTTGAATCTTGGTTTTATTTTGAGGCAATACAGGATCCTTAATTGAGTTTTAAGTTGATTTGTATTTGTGACCCTTGCTAATGCATAAGTGACCTATAATGATTTATATTATTTTTTTTACTATTGAATGAATAATGAAATGATGAGTTTGATGTTGGATTACATGTTGTGCCTTATTACTAAGTATGCTTAAGTTTGTTAAAGTTTGATTCATGCCTTACACACATGTTTTGAGCACCTAGACAAGTTATAATAGGATGACATAACATGTGAGACTCTTAGGAAGCCTGAAGTGATTAATAATGCACAAAATGGTTAAGTGACTTGCATTTAAGTTAAATTTCTATGAAATAGTTGAATTTTGATGCTAAATACTTGTATATTATGCTAAATGATGTTAAGAAGCGCATTACATATATGTTACAACAAGTTCTAAGTGGTTTAAGTGTGTTCAAGCATGTTCATAGACCCTAGGATCGATTGCATGACCTATTGAATGCATGTTCATGTACATTAGTATGCATTTTATGCATTTTTTTCATAAATAGGATTGATCCCTTTCTCAAAAGGATCGATTCCTTAAGGAAAAGAATCGACATCTTCCCCAAATGATCGATCCCAAACTCACTAATTTACAAAGGATTGATCCCTGAGAAAAAGGATCGATTCATTCGCTGTTTGATCGATAAAAATAGGTAAAAGTACATTCATTAAAGACCCAAAGTGTTTCCTAAGTCCTTGGATGGTCCCTAAACTTCAAAACATATTTAGTTTGGTCCAGAAACATGATTTTGCAATTAAAACTTAGTTTCAACTCGGATTTTGTTGAAATTTGTTCTATAACTCTATAATGATTGAAATTTCACATTGTAACCTTAAATTTCATAATTTTGGTTTATTTTTACATTTTGAAAAGTTTACGTTTTGGTCTTTAAATTGAGTATATTTGATTAGGCCCCGAAATGATGTCTGATTTCATTGTAACTTTGCATGTTACTAAATTATGATTATGTTTAACTTTTGGTAACCTTAATTGAGTGAATTGACTATCGATTTGTTATGTGATGTGAAATAACTAAATTATCATTAGGTGTTTAAATGAAATGTTTGCATGTTTAACTGAAAATTCAATTGCATGTTAATTACATTGAACATCGTATGTTGATGAATGTTAATAAATTTTAAATTGTTTACTTCCAAAAAATGTGCGTAATGTGGATCTTGATACGTCCAACACGATTGCAACCTAATGTATGCTCAGGTATCATAGTCTGACTTTTAGACCGGATATGGGGTGTTACATAGATGTCCACCCTCTCATTCTTCTCTAAACTTGTGGTGTTATTATTTGCTATCAAAAGTTTGAAATCTTTCCATATTCTTGAAATAAAGCATGAGTCCTTGAAAGAAGGAAAATGGTGCAATAGAGCAGAGATGTCTGAAGAAGTAGGTATAATATGAGCAATAATAGGGTTGAGAAGAAAACCTATTAAAATAGGATAAATTGAAATGTTGTCCATAAACTAATTTGAATTTACAAAAATATCCATAACCAATATTTTGTCTAAAGTGTAGGGGTTAAAATAAAAATTAAACCATTTTACTAACGGGCCACATTATCAAACTAACGACATTCAACTTCCAAGTGAACAAAACTTAATAAAACTATAACGTAAGTGACCAAAACTTATATTTTTGAATTTGGTTATAAAAGCGTACAAATATAAAAGAAAAGAGACCAAAACTTAATCCACATATTATCTATATGTGGAATTGATGTAATTTTAATTTTATATATTTATTGTGTCATGTCAGTAAACTGTTAAAGGTTTAATGTCTATTAACCTTCGGTGACCACATATTATATTTTTTGAATTCATGAGTAAAAATATATAAAATTCAAACGAAAGTGATCAATTATGTAATTTACCCTAAATTAGATTAGATTAAAATCTTTATAAAATTGATAAATTACATCATTCATCATTCAAATATGTTCTTACCCTATTTTGGTCATTAAAAATAAAACAAATTTCAATTTCATTATTAAATTTTCAAATTGTTCCTGATTTGATCGCTTCACCTTTGAATAATTAATAGTGTTATGAAATAATAACCTACACCAAAATGACATCTTTTTGAATTATACATAAAATCAAATTTAGTTCAAAATGACGTCGGTTTGGTTCCGTATATAAACTTATTTTTTTCTCATTTTCCCTCATTTCTTCTTTCGCTTTTTCCTTCTCATCATTTTTTATGTCTTTTAACCTAAACCAACCAAGAACTTAGTCACTACGCTGGTCTTCATTCTGGCCACTACTAACCATCATCACCAGAGGTCGATAAGTCTTAAAATATACCATCAAACTCGCTCGACCCTTCTGAACGTGAATCCATTATTTGTTTATTCAAAGAATAACTCAAACTCCACAAATCTAGATTGATACCGTATTCGTGGTATGTCATAAAGCTTTGTTCACCATTCACGTAAAAGTTAGTGTTGAATGAAAGCTCTTCCTCTCCTTTTCCAATCATTCAATTTAGATCTCTGTGAAACCAACCCAAAAGCTACGAAAACCAAATTAAATACCAAACCAAATAGTCTCGATTTGTGCCCCTTTCATCGTCTGATTGTTATGCAGTTGAGATATGTTACTCCCCACTAGATGCGTCGTGCTTTGATCATTGGGATCATGACAATAGACCTCGATCTACTAAAAATCAAGAAATTTAGGGTTTTAATATTTCTTGTAAAGATTTTGGGTTTATAATGAGAAGATTAACTTGGATTTAGGGTTTAAGGTATAGGGTGATTTGTGAGGGTTCTATGTCGGGATAATATGAGTGAGGCCAATAAGGGTTTAGGGTGGTTGATGAGGCTTTAAAGTTGGGACGATGTGTGGTGGTCAGTAAGGGTTTGAGTTTAAGGTTTGTAATTTAGGGTGGTCAAGTTAAGTTTGAGGTTTGAGATTTGAAAATAAAATTTTGAAATTGGGATTATGGTTTATTAATAAAAAGTTTCAAGCCATAATAAAAAATAATAAAATACTCCATATCATTATATGTTTTATAATTTAAACAATAGAGTAATTTAAATAGAAATAATTTAAAATTTTAATTATTAAATTATTTTTTTTAATTTTAATAATCAAAATAAAAATATAAAGATAATTGATAAAAGTGTAAAGATAATTGAGTGATGAACGATATAATTTACTCTCATAAAATCAACCATATATCATATATGAAATAGTATAAATTGATACCATTGATTCAATGAACGATCATTGTTGGTGGTTAGCTGGCAGTTTCAGTCCCTACCCTCTTTGGTCCCTTTCCCTAGATTCCTTTCCCTTCTCTCTCACCCCCCTCCTCTGCCTTTACACCCTAATCCAACCATTATTTTCCAGTCTTGACCCATACCAAGTATGAACACGCTTCTTCTTTTCTTTGTTTGCTTAAACAAACAACAAAATCAGATTTGGTTAGGCCTACTATAGTCTTCTTCCTCTCTCAAAGTCACCCACTTCACATTATTATATTCTCAAATAGGCCAGTCTATATCCTTGTAGCTTGCTATGCATGGAATCAAGTTTCTTCAAAATTTTAATTTTTCCTTATTTTCTAAGACAACTGTCTTCGTTGATACAACTATTTTGTCTCTTTCAATGTGGGTGAAAAAGATGAAAATGACCTTGATGAAAATAAATTGATTTGATCGATAGTTAGTGATTCAATACTTTTGATTTAGATGAAAAATCATAGTGAAAGAATAATTGTTGCTCGGTGTTTTTATATGAAAATATTAAAACCATGATGAGAAGTGCGATAAATCAGAAAGTTTATAGCCTCGTTCGATTGTGGTTAAGAGGTATATATAGTAGTTATAGCTAACAGATATAAGACTATTATAATTATTTGTTAGTTAGCTGGCTAGATATATATGATAATCAAATCTTAGATTTTATCTTAATAGATCATGTGAATTTATAAGAGATCTCGTTTATCCATTATAAGTAGTCGATTTAAGATTTCAAATGGCCGATCTAATAATTTTTTAAAATAGCCTACAAAAAAGTATAACATACCTCAAATTATTGAACTTGGATTCACTCCTCGGAAAATGTTTCTCCATTACTGATTATGTGACCAGATTTTGTTCCTATTCAATTTTTTTCTCCCTCTTTTGTCCTAAACAAGCAAATGCGTGTATCAAATATATCTTTTTCTTTTAGATAAAATAAATCAATCCTCATAGAAAGAGAAGGGGAACTCTATTAATCTTCCATGCACTATATCAGAATATATACTATTATATAAGACTGATGGTATTTTTCCCTACAAGATGATAAGGTATAAAAGCTATCCCCTTTTAACAAATCACTGCATCACCCTCCCAATTCAAGAATTTCCAGTTTCTTTTCCCTAACATCAAAAATCAAATCTATCTTCTACTTTTCTTACATTAAACTCCGTATCCAATCTAATGATGTACAGCCTCTCCAAGGCAGTCATGAGACGATGAGGATCATGTCTTGCAATGGGATGGCTTTTTCCCCAGCGAATTTCATGCTCCAAACACTTCAAGATGAAGATCATCAACCCTCAACTTCTTTCAGTCAAATGCTTCCTTCTTGTCCACCCCAAGACATCAAGGGTATTCATATACATCTTTCTTCTTTCACCTGATACTGATGAAAGTGAAACTATATATATATATATATATATATATATATATATATACAGATAGATAATTGATGATGGTTTTGATTTTCTTTCTAGGGGTGGCATCGTTTCTTGGGAAGAAATCAATGTCATTTTCAGGGATAGATGCGGGTGAAGATCAGGGTAATGGGGAGGATGATTTATTAGATGATGGTTCACATGCAGGAGAAAAGAAGAGGAGGCTTAACATGGAACAGGTAAAGACCCTTGAGAAGAACTTTGAGTTGGGTAATAAGCTTGAACCTGAGAGAAAAATGCAGCTGGCTCGAGCTCTAGGGTTGCAACCAAGGCAGATAGCTATTTGGTTTCAAAACAGAAGAGCTAGATGGAAAAGCAAGCAACTTGAGAAAGACTATGATCTACTTAAGAGACAGTACGATGCAGCCAAAGCAGATAATGATGCACTCCAAGCTCAGAACCAAAAGCTTCATGCTGAGGTAATAATAATATTAATCTTAACTAATCACGACCAGAGATATAAATTACGGTCGTGTTTTCTATTGTGTTTAACAATGATAGCTTCTTCTTCTTTGATGGGATATAGATAATGGCACTGAAAAGTAGAGAACCAACTGAGTCTATCAACCTCAACAAAGAAACTGAAGGTTCATGCAGCAACAGAAGTGAAAACAGCTCAGATGTAAAGTTTAATATCTCAAGGACACCGGCAATTGACAGTCCCTTATCGGCTTATCCAACGAGCATAACCTTCTTCCCAACATCCAATATTAGGCCACCAGGCGGAGGTGGTGGCGGAGCACAACTATTCCAAAACTCATCGTCAATGCCCGATCACCACCAATGCCAGAAGATGGATCAAATGGTTAAAGAAGAAAGCCTTAGCAACATGTTCTGCACCATTGAAGATCAGTCCGAGTTTTGGCCATGGCTTGAGCAACAACATTTCAGTTGATCATGGCGTCATAATATAATCATAATATCAATGTTTTGGTACCTTCATAATCATAGTGTGTATAAAGATGATTATGGAGGAATAAAAATGTGTATTTTGGGATATATATATACACATATTTATCAGGTTTTCATCATTCAGTAAGCAAAGTATACTCGAAAGTTAAATCAAAAGAAAAAGGAAAATGAAGAGAAAGAGGGTATCCAACACACATTTCAAGGGGAGAAGAAGACAAATAGATGAACAGAGGAATAAAATGGTGTATCCTCGTGAAGGAGACGTAGGCAATGGCAACTCTCGTGCTGACAAACAAGGGAATGGCATCCAAAAGCAAAGGTAGCCCACTACACAACACTCTTTCTTTCTCACCCTACTTTTTGACTCTTCTATTGCTGCAGCAACCAAACTACTACTAATAATATAACTCAACCACCGGTCTACCAAACATTTGTATCAATGTACATAAATTCGAGTTCCTGATAATGCAAGAATATTATATGGTTGATGAAAGTATTTTATCACACTTGTGATATAGGATTTAAATTGCGGTTGTAGCCTTATTTTTAATTGTATTGCATTTTATCGAGATTACGGACTTGAAGAATATTATTACAGTTATTGTGAATGCGATCAGACAATAACAGTTTTGAACAATACTATTACTGCTATACATAGACAGTTCCAGTAAGCAGTCATGTGATCCACTTACTTACTGTCACCCACTCCCTAGGATCCAACACATTCCTCTCTTTACCCCACTATCATGATTCTCCCTTTCCTCCATCCATATCTTTTCCTTTCCTTTCTTCTTCTACTACTTTCAATTTCTTTTTCTTTTTATTGAGAGAAAAGGATTCATTAAAAGCCAATGACATCATCAATTACAATCTGTCTAATACAATCAGGTTCATCCATAAAAAACACATCAGATTGGGATTCGACAAAAACCGTTGGACAAGATTATGCGCTGCTTTATTGGCCTCCCGGTTGACATAGAAAAGTTTAAACCCCTCATTGGAAGAAATTTCTTCTTTTCAGTGGAAGGTTCAAAGTAATCGTCCATTGCATCACTTATTTTTTTCCCCTCAATTTGATCCAAAGAAATAATGTTCATTCACATTCTAGTACATGCGTTCGCCACCTAATTATCTTATCGTCTGGTAAGTAACCCTTTACATACATGTTCCTACCTTGCTCATTCAATTATAAACTACCACACACATATTTATTAATTATTATAACTAATTCAAATTCTTTTTCACTGTTTTGCATCATCATCGAAACATATTCCATCCATACCCGAAATGGGACATCATAATTGTTGTACATTCTACGTAAGAAGAGTCCTCACAGATTATTTCATTTCCACGAATAATCTTCGCATATCAAGATCTTCAAAGAATTCTTCTGTAGTTAAACGGGAAAACATCCCAGACAGAGATTATCAAGAGCTCTATACCTTCTACTAAAAAAAAGTCATATACCTATAAAGAAACCATGACTTATTGACACAATCTCTGACAAACTCATGTAGTTTGCCAGATTTAAAATTTAGTGTCAGTTAACCATACATAGTGAGTCTGCTAACCTACAAGTAGTTATTATGATTTTACGTCTTACACAACAATAAGTAAAATCTTGCAGTCAAGACTAAGAAATATATGAAATCACTCCTATTATGTCATTCTTTTCTCTCCCTATGGAGATCGAAAATTTTTACAATGATCAATGCTATTTTATTAGAGATTGTGTCTCTTCGTCTAAATAAAAAAGGTGAATTACTTATGGCCATGATAAACCCTTTGTTCCGTCAGCAATAAACATATATTATGTGGGTTAGATAAGTTGTTTAAGTTTGTCACTGTAGATTTCCATTGCTTTCAGTCTGTGATTTGGACATGGATTTTAAAAGTTAGTGGTGATGGAATAGGATGGACGATATATATGTCACGCCACTAGATTGATGAATTTTTATATTGATTGGGGTTGCCCACAATGTGAAACACATGGAAACAAGAAAAGTAGTACAACTAGGGTTTTGGTTGTTGCTTGCTAGCCCACCCTTGCATAGGATTCTTCCCTGTGTTTTGTATTTATTATAAAGGAAAAAGCTATGATGCAGAGATTAGCTGGAAATACTAACAAATGTAATTTCATTTGGTGGACTCCATAAACAAATATGTAGACAGATGGATCAAAAAATCATGCAAATAAGCTTAGATTCAGGGCCTATAATTAGCCAATAACTCCAATTAGATATGTAACAAAAATAGTTTATTTGAAATATTACACATATGGGATCATGTAAAGAGAATTGAGATAATCTTCGTTAGGAAAGCTTGGCATTTGGTTAATACAATTTTAAAAGGCCAATATGGATTATTGGTTTTAAATTATGTTTAGTGACAACTAAAGAATAATTTAGAATTGAGGGTATTAAGAAACTGTATATGACAGAAATGTATTGAATTCACGTGTGTTGCATTTACAATCATTCTAGCTTTATAGCTAGAGTCAAGCTATCAACCACTTAACCGACTAACAATATTTGGCGCCTAAACTAACTGATTAACAAAGCCATGCTATAATACATGCATGTACACAGTATGCTATAGTCTAACATTCTCCCTACTCTTTTCATTTCTTCCCTTAATCGACTCTACACCCCTGGCATCACACATATACTGTGACGAAACTCCTCAAAAGCTGACTTTGAGAGAGGTTTTGTAAAACCATCTGCTATTTGATGTGCAGCTGGTATGTAGTTGATCTTCAGCAGTCCTGCAGCTACCTTCTCTCGGACAAAGTGAATGTCAAGATCTATATGCTTCGCCTGTGCATGATACACGGGATTAGCGCTCATAGCCACTGCTCCGGTGTTGTCACACCATATCACCGGCTCCCTCCGTTGTTGAATCCCTAGGTCTGCAAGTAAAGAACTTGTCCATGTAACTTCAGCAGCAGCATCAGCAAGACACTTGTATTCTGCCTCCATCGTGGACCGAGACACCGTTTTCTGTTTCTTTGAGCACCACGCAACAAGACATTTCTCAACGAACACACCATAACCGGAAATTGACCGTCTATCATCAATGTTTGCTCCCCAATCTGCATCTGCAAAAGCTGACACAGACAATTCTGCCTCACTTGCTTGGTTATAGAAGAATGTCGAAAATCCATAGCAAGAGCAACTAACTAACGATTTAACTGTTTGTTGCAACAAACTGCAACAACCTGCTAGCCAAATCAACTCTGTTGCAACCTTCTTGACATTGAACCTCAGCTATACTTAACAATTAACTTCTAACAGAGGGTAGTAATGCTAGTCAAGTAGAGCTTGTTTCCTGGCCACGTGCATAATGTTAGTGAATGATGACGTATGACGTATGTGTGTACCATTTGTAAAGTTGGCAGTTACGAGGACTTAGTTTGTTAGGGTTTTAGTTAGTGCATGTTTTCTGTTAGTGCATGCATGTATAAATTGTTATCTTCCTCAGTATTGTATTCACCCAATGATAATAGAAAAGACTCAGAAAGTGGAGTTATTCATAAGCTTTGTTTCCTTGATTGCTTGGCTTATCCTTGATTGCTTGGCTTATATCTTGACATGGTATCAGTCGCCAAATCCTGGTGTCTTCTTCTACGGGCATTTTGAGGTGTGCTGCTGTTTCACCTAGTGGTTTCATTTCAATTCTTGCACTTTCTTGTGATTCTTGTTCTTTCGTTTCTTGTTACGATGGTGGATCTTACCCTTGATACTGAGAAGGGGTCTTCGAACAATTCTCCGGTGAGTCCTATTGTTTCACGGTTAAATGCTATTCACCACATTCCTAAACATGACAGTGAAGCTTACTGAGAATACGTACCTGCTTTGGAAAAATCAAGTTTCATTGATAATTGATGGCTATGGATTGTTGCGGTTCATTTCGAGTAATATTGTAGTACCAATTGAATTTGTTTCTAATGATTCTGGGCAAGTTGTAGAAAATCTAGAGTTGCGATTTTGCTCTATCCGATAGCCGTATTCTGCAACAATTGGCATCAGAGCCAGATTTGAGAGTATTATATCTACTTATTGTCTTTGTGGTCGCCACCAAAAGGTGGATCCTCCAACATAAGAAAGTAAGAAGGTATTACCCATTCTTTGAAGGTTCCAAAGAACTATTCACGATAGTGAAATAGTGGGAGCTATCCGTAATAGATCAAGCTATGACAACGAAATTTGATATTGAAAAGTTCAATGAGAGAAATTTCTCATTGTGGAAATTGAAGATGAAGGCTATCCTGAGGAAAGACAGTTGTCTAGCAGCTATCAGTGAAAGGCCGGTAGATTTCACAGATGACAACAAATGGATCGAAATGGACGGGAATGTTATGACAAACTTTCATCTAGCATTAGCAGATGAAGTATTATCAAGCATCGAGGAGAAGAAGACATATAAGGAGATATGTGATCATCTCACCAAACTGTACGAGGCCACATCATTGCACAATAAAATTTTTGACAACTGTCGTTTTCGATGTCAAAATAATTCCTTTTTCTCAATTAAAAAATAAAGAAATGCGTAGTATAGAGAAATAAGGGTCGAAACCTCAGGGACTTAGAAAATCACAAATTTATGTATGATTGGTTTTAAACCAGGCGAAAGACAGTAAAATGGGGGGTTTGGTGAAATGAGATTTAATTAGTAATAAAAATGACTAAATAAATAAAAGTTATTAAAGTAAAAATAAGAGAATAAAGATTGTGAATGAATACTGTAAAAATAGCCTCAAGCCTTGCTTTGACTCAATTTCTTTTAGATCATCGAATAAGATTTTCCCTCTGGGATTCACGTTGGTTACTTTGTCTACAAGGGCAATCCCCGTGACTCTATCTTGTATACTGAATACCTAAGGCAATCTTTGATTTCGGCTTCGGTAATTGATTTTAACAGCATCAATTGCCGTAGATCAATTACCGTTTAAGTTCGTGGCGACTGACACAGATTGTTGCTTCAATAACCGTCAATTCCGATCTCAATTCCCTCTTGGTGAAGCCA